TCAATGGGTTCGCTCTGCCATCCATGCATCACAACAACTCACCTCTCCTATAGATGTCCTATCTTTGAAACTTCCGCCCCGCCTTGTGCGGTATCACTGGTACGTATAATCATAAGAGTGGATCGATACGCAGGTAAATACGTATATATATATATATATATTCTATACATATATATATATATGTTCTAAATATATTCTATATATATATATTCTGTATATATATATATATTCTATATATATGTGTGTGTGTGTGCGTGTGTGTGTGTGTGTGCGTATGTGCGTGTGTGTGTGTGTGTGTGCGCGTATGTCAGTGGATCTTTTTGCGTGTATATATACTATCCATATATTGAACTATCTGTTCATGTAAACAAACTATTTACATAATCCATATCATATTACTGTATACCATTCATGATTCATATGTGTATATGCTTTCAGACTGCCCTGCCAATGGCTAAAGCACCGCGGACAACCATGGTTCACCCGTCTTAAGCACACTCTAAGGCTTTTGCTGTCACCTTGGCACAGCTGACGCTCGGCTCCGGCCTCTCGCAAAGTTGGCTGCAAGGAGGCGCAACAACCCCCTCTGAAAAGTGATTGAATACAGTATTGTAATGCACTGTAGAACTGTTTCATCTCAAAGATTCATGCGTGTATGCATGCAAGTGGTCAAAAATGTACACACACACACAATCACACACACATATTTATATATATATATATATCAATATATATATATATATTGATATGTAAATATATATATATATATTGATATATATATATATATATATATTGAAATCGATATTGATATGATATAGATATCTATCTATATATATATATTTATTTATTTATTTAGTGATTAACATATATATATATATTTACTTATTTATTTAAATATATTGATTTAGATATATATATATATATAGATATATATTTTGTTATTTATTGATTTATATATATATATATACAGTGATTCAGATATTTATATATATATACACATTAATATATGTAAATGTAATATGTATACATAGTGATTCAGTTTTATATATATATATTAATATGTAAAATTAAATATGTATATATATACACATATATTGATATATATATATATATGTGTGTGTGATTGGAAAGATAAATATATATGAATAGATAGATAAATAGATAGATAGATAGATAGATAGAAATATATATATATATATGTGCGTGTGATTGGAAAGATAGATAGATATATATATATATAGATAGATAGATAGATAGATATATACATATATTGATTTAGATATAAACTTATCAATATTATATATATATATATGTCATACTTACTTGAATGCTGCACATGGAGACTGCACCATCTTGCTGCACATTCTATGGCTCTGCCCATGTTGGCTCTATCCAATTTATATCACATATTATATCCATTGGTGTGTTGCGCAATTCTGCTTGTGAACTCCCTGAGTCTGGCACGTGCTTTCCAGCAAGCCGCACGGCGTGTAAAGTGGCAAGTCCCTCCACAAACCGGAACTTATCAGCGACTTGTTCCTGAAGGCTGCTGGATACGCGATGGCTCTCTGGGGCCAAAAACACAAAAAGGCCTAGCAATATCTTGGAATCACATCATAACATCTGTCATGAAAATCACCTCTTGTTTTTTAGTGTTTCATGCTGGTTTCGATGTGTTTCATTGCGACTTCATTTCAAACGAAATCCATCTGTGCTACAAACTTGGGCGACATCCGCGCATAGAGGCGTAGAAGCTGGGTTCCCTACTTGTAGTGCTGTCCCTTCACTGAGCACGCCCGTGCCCGGTGCATGCTCGACAACCTCACATTACAAAGGTTGACCAAAAGGGCCCGCCACTCTGCTGACCATGACCAAACCATCACAAACCATACATTTACATCAATCCCATCATTCCATCCCCTGAATATCCGCCGACCCCGTTTGCAGCAGGGGGAGCGCGTCAGAGGAGAAATTACCAGCAGCAAGGGGCAAGAACTTAATGCTTATTACAAGCAGCTATAGCAACCAGCAAGGGGCAAGAAGCAAGAAGCAAGAAGTCAGGAAGCAATTGCACGCAGCAAGGGGCAAGTTTTGGGAAGCTTGGGTAAGCAGTTTGGAGCTAGTTTCTTGTGGGTTCAGAAACTGACGTTAGGCACGGCCAGCTGCAGGCCGCAGGCCGCAGGCGCCGTCCTTCACTGCCATTGTGTTTCAGTGTAGCGGAGGAGTCCGTTTTGGCAGTTCGACCTAGTTTCGTGTGGATTGATTCAGAAAGTGACGTTACGCACGGCCAGCTGCAGGCCGCAGCCGTCCTTCATGGTGTTTCAATGGCAAAGGGGTCCGTTTTTGGAGCTCGGGTAAGCAGTTTTCAGAAAGTGAGGCTAGCCACGGCCAGCTGCGGCGCCAACCGTCCTTCACTGCCATGGTGTTGCAATGTAGCAGAGGGGTCCGTGTTGGGAGCTTTGGGTAAGCAGTAGGTGCTGCCAACCCTGCCGCCGACCCACCCCCGGTTCACCCCCATCCCACTCCCGGTTAATTTACGGCGTATTTTGCTTGCGGTGTTAAAAAAACATCGTTTTTTTATTGTGTTTCGGGCCCATCGGCGGCAAGGGATTTCATCTTGGCGATGTTGAAAAACATCGGTTTTTACGTGGTTTTGGGCTCCAGGAGGGGGCCCGGGCCGAAAAAATTGGCATCTTAGCATAGCCCAACATACCCCGACATAGGCCCAACCTGGGACAATACAGGCCCAAGATGGGCCCAACATGGCTCAACATCAGCCCGACTTGGCCCAACATGGGCACAACCTGCGCTCAACATAGGCCCAGACTGCTTCCATACAGGCAAGCACTGCGCATTGTGCCTGCCTCAGGCCCTCCGGGTTTGCGCGGAGAATCTCGGCCCAATCTAAGCCAAACGTTGCTGCTTGGCCGGCGCTACTAGCTTCACTCTGGGCCAGTGGGAAACTGGAGACTGTGGCTTCCAGCCACGTACGGGATCGGTAGATGTGTGTGGCTGGTTGATTTAGATGATCTATCTAACACGGCCATGGCTTGAACACCACTCAATGTCGCCGCAGCATGTCTCGGCGTTTCTGTTTCGACAGTCAATTCAATCAGCACTGGTGTGTAAAATTCGCATTTTTTTTGTCTCTGCCCACTCTGGGTCACAACTCGCCCTTTGTTATTTGTCGAAACAATCCTAAAAAAACCATGTGACTACTCAGAAGTAGAATCATCGTTACTGACCACCAATTGCCTTTGGTAGGCGCCTCTCTTTAACTTCAATTGATAAATAATTTTGACAGACCTTTTGGATAAAAACAAATGCAGAATCAAATATATATATTTTTCCAAGCACAGGCAAGTTGTTCACCTCTCTGTTTCTTATGATTGAAAGTTCAGAACCTTTCACCTTTCCATACATTTTCAACAAATGCGAATGCATGGCTCGCTTGCGGGAAACCAGGTAAAGAAGAAAAAATATTTCAAAATATGCAAAACAACAAAAAGTTGGATTTTGAAGATGAAACATGCCCAGTGGACTTGCAAAAAAAAAACAAAAAGGAATGCATTGCTAGAATTGGTGGTAAAATTTGAATACATTCATTGAGTGCTGTTGCCACAAAGAAATTGACTTGAAAAAAGTCATGTTTGCGAAAATTCGAGGAATGCTGCGATCATCTGATTCTATCCTTTTTTGCTAAAATCGATTGAATTTTTAATGACATGACGACATGCTACAAATACAATTTCAACAAAGCTGCGTCTTTTTAGCTGCAAAAGTAACTGTACTCAGTTTCTCAATCTTTGATTGAATTGCTGATGACATGATAAATAGAAACAATTTGTAAGAAACTGTAGAAATGTTCATGGAGCGCGCAATGCTCTTTTTACATCGAAACTGATGCGAAAACATGATATGTTAGGAATGCTTGGGTTGGCTGGTGGACATTTGACTCTAGCTGCTATGAATGAAATTGATGACATACTACAATGCAGCATCCTTTCAGCTGCAGACTGCAAAGCGAACTCTATTGAAGTTTGGATTGGCTGGGATTGAGATTACATAAAATCTTGTTGTTTCGATATTGATTGAATAAAGCGGCATCAAAATCAATGTAGCGATTTGGTTCTAATCGCGAATCGCGATCGCGACTCCTTTGACAGTTCTTTCACGCGCACATTTTGGATTTCCTAACGACATTTGTTTCCTGATGTCTTTCGCTCTTGCTTTCGCGGAAAATTGTACCCAAATGATGACATATATGAATATTGAAACGCGTTTCTACTATGACTATGACCTGCTTTCGCCTTTCGCGACTGCTTTCGCGGCTCAACCTTGATGCACTCCTTTCCCAAAGCTTTCGAGCGGCTTTCGCAGGGAGGGTTGCCATATGAACCTGAACTGATCCTTTCATTTAGGTTTTCGATTCTGCTCAATTCATGACATGCTAAAATGTGAGAATGAACAATGCAGCATCCTTTCAGCTGCAGAATGACAGAATGAACTATACTCAATCTTCGGTCTTCAGTGCATATGAACTCGAATACAAATCCCTTCATGTATGTTTTTGATACTGCTCAATTGATGACGTGCTACAATATGTGAAAGAACGATGCAGCATCCTTTCAGCTGCAGCAAGACACAATTGACACAATAAATCTGTTCAATCGTTGGATAAAAAATTGATGTACTGAAACATGTCTGAGAAAGAATGCACACTGCACAATGATGTCAGATCCACTGCTATTTTACCAGCATCGCTTGCTGATGTGCTGCAAAGGCAATGGAAGTTGATGGTCGAAATATGCATCAATCCAAGCCAAGCTGCTGCCAACTGCCAAGTGTCAAGTGCCAAGCTCTTTCAGAGACTCACAGGCCACCCCAAAGTTTGCACCCAAAGCGAAAAATCCTACTGCTGCCCTTGCAAAATTCGGTCACATGATTGAAATTTGAAATATAAATTTTGAAACTTTGCAGTGAAGATTTGAGAAGAAATTCGAACGCAAGGGTGCAGCAGCAACATGATGCGAAGTTTCAAATCGAAAAAATGCCATCAGCTCCAAAGGCTGACAAGCCAACTTTCAACTGGTAACTGAGCTACTCAATAGCGGCTGGTGGAATCCCAGTCCCAGGCACAGCATCCTTCTTGAAGACTTCATTCTTTTTCTCCAAATTATCGTCATCATCTCCAATCTTCTTCAAATTCAGCTCATTCTGCTTGACCTTCTCATTATCCTTGCTGGGACTTTGATGCTGCAGATCCTCAGGGGAAACCTCCGCCGCAACCCCAGCACCAGCAAAACCATCTGCAACCTCGTTGGAATCAAAGTCAACGTTCTCCTTCTTCGCCGTATCGGCAATAGGAGCAGGAACAGCTGGAACTGGAACCTCCTTCTCCAGAGCTGCCAAGAACCTGTCAACATCCGCATCTGGCCGGCCATGGGACGTGAGGAGCTTCTGGACAAGCTTGACCTCGCTCAAGGCAGCCGAGTTCTTGGCTGTGAAGCCACGGAAGCACAGGCCATGAAGGTCAGAGTCTTCCATGATATTCTCCGCAAAGATCCAGCCAGCTGGAAGCCAAATCAAATCAAATGGTCCAGCTGTTCCAGTCAGCAAACACTTCAGCAAATCCCCCTCGAATGCGGTCTTCTCGGGATGGAGAACCATGTCCCAAAAGCTGGTAGGGTTCAAATCTCCCGCAAGTTCATGCACCTTGGAAGCAGGAATCAAAGCGATGGTCTTTGTCCCCGTAGAAGACACTCGCACAGAAGCGCTCCAACCTTTCTCTGAAGCGGATGTCACAGATCCGGCCTGCACTCCAATGTGGCAAACCTCCAAGTTCATCTCTGGCACAGGAGATGGAAGAAAATCTCCGAACAAACCAGAGAAGGCATCCATCAAACGAACAGCTGCTTGTCCTTGGATTTTCGAAGCAGCCCGGGCCTTTGTTCTCCGTTCTGGTGGCTTTGCAATGTTGGCCTTGTCATTGGATTTCACGTGGTTGGCAAACGCAGCAGCGAAGCCAGCGGCTGCACCAGCCACGGTATCCTGAGATGACAGTGTGCGAAACTGTAGCTTACAATAAAAGAAATTATCTGAAGCAATCTCCACTTGGTATTGCAAAGCGTTGCAAACTATTAGTAAGTTCGGAATTGGGTGAGCCACAATACCAGCTTAACAGCTAAGACATCATGTATGCGTGACCATTCTTATATATATATAAAGATATGGTTTTCAAAGAAAAAAATCACGCCAACAGCGAAACATAATGGCAAAGAAAATCATCGGTCCGTAGCAAAATATGATTCTATAACGCGGTATTTTCAACAAACCCAACCAGTCCTCTGCCAAAATTGGCTTGACCAAATCGGCAACTCTGACAATGGCTGGCATGTTGCAATCCAACTTATCCTTGGCCTCCTCAAGGCTTGAATAAAAAGGCATAGAAGACCCTTGCTCCAAAGCCTTGTCGAAAAAGGATGGCTCGACACCAGTCTTCTGCTTTTTTCGCTTCGACCCAGCAGCTGCAGATGTAGTAGAGGATCTCTTTGCAGACACCCTCTGATCGTAGGCAACAATTGCCTTCTTCAACTCATTGATGCCTGTCTTGACAGCGTTGACCAGCTCCTGGATGGGCTTTCGGTCATTGGTTCGCTCCTTGTTGAGATCCTTCAGCTCCTGAGCACTCTGACATTTCCACCAAGCAGCCTCGGCAGAGTCCTTGATGGATGGAAGCGTCATCAGGCTCAAGTAGGATTGGCCTCAGAAATCTCACAACTCTGAGACTCTCAGTCTGAGTCTGAGATACTAATACAAACAAGTTCACCACGCCACTGACTAGAAAAGCAAATCCTGTAAGTCAACAAACATAAGTCATAGGACATACCCAAAGCACAAAATGGTTTCAGATTCAAAACAAGAAGCTCGGTGGAGCCTTGCCAATCTGCTCAGTCCAAACAGTGCTTGCCTCCGTTGATCCTTCCGAAGACTTCACAGGAGTGGCTTCCTTTGGCGAGGCGACGCAAGAATTCTTCAAAGACTCCAACGAGGCCGAATCGCTCTTCATCACTGCCTCCAAAAACTCCAAGCGCTTGGTGAGCGTGTCACGCTCTATGGCAGTCTCACGCTCACACTCTGGTCCTCGCTTCGAAGCTTCTTTCATCTGATCACGACCTTCAACAAGCTTGTTGTCAACCTGCATTTGGAGAGTCATCAGGGCATTGTTCTCAGCCCGCATTTTTGAGGCGATTGCTGGATCTCTGTCCCAATAGCCTCGCTTCTTCGTAGGTGCAGCTGGGCCAGAGCGACCGTCTTCATCCCCAGGAGCCTGACCTTGATTTTCCTTTTCAGCGCCCTGACCTTCTGGAGCTCCTTCACCATCAGCAGCTTGATCCTCTTTCTCAGGAGTCTTGGGATTCAGCATCTCCACATCAACCTCAAAGGCATTTCCGGCAAAGCAGTTGCCAGCGGTTCCATCTCCTGCTGCCTTCACCATGCCAGCCCCAATGGCTCGAGCATCCAAATCGCTGTTGCGATCATGATCCAGCAGCAACTGCTTCTTCTTCTGAAGAATTGATTCTTCCGACAGATCCTTTTGATCCTTCTCACGGGCCTGAAAACTCTTGGTTCTGTCAAAGATGTTGGCCAAGAGCACAGTGTCCCTCAAAGGTACTGCAACTCGAACTGAACCATTGGCACCCTTTCGGTCGTAGATCACCTCCTCTGTGTCCGGAGTAGTTTGGATCAAATCCATCCATGTCTGCCTGGCAAGCTGTCCCAAAACACATCAACAATGAAAAACACGATTCAAAAAATTCAACAAATTTGAGACTCTGATCAACCAAAGCTATCTACAACTCAACAAATTCAGACATGTAAAATCCGGTCAATCCCTACACTGCAAACGCATGTCTTTGTCACTATCGTTCCGACTCAATCTAGATGAGGCACCATTGAATGTTGGCCTGCGCTTTGGTAAGGCGTCCCTCACCCTCAGACAGCTTCTCGGTGACATGCTTCATGTAAACGTCTTCCGGCATCATCTGACATTCAGTTCCAAACTGAACCCGGGAAGTTGCGCTCGAAGTGTCAAGGGAAGTGAACAGCTGGCTCTTCGACCCCTGAGGCGGCATGATGATGAAAAGGTATTGAAATAATGAAAAACGGCAATCAGAAAGGAATAGTTCTTGGAAACTGCAAACGAAATTCATGTGGATTTGAATGTCAAAAACTTCAAAGATCGTCAATCATGCCTGGGACTTCAAGGCACCAGTGCCACCCGTCAGCTCATCGTACTTCTTGAGAACCTTGGAAACTTTGTCTTCATCTTTGCGAACATCTTTGATCCACTTAAGCTTTCCCTGAGCCTTTGCAACTCTGGTCAAAGCATCCAAACGGTGCTTGTCCTTCAGGCAAAATGCACTCTTGGAGCCCATGCCTTCTGGTTTGAAATACAAACCACAGCCTTTGCATTTCCTGGAGTACTGCTTGTTTTGTTTCTTCACACCGGTCAAATCCTTGTTCACTGCCTTTTTCGAAGAAGTACTGCCCACCTCACTTGGTGCTGCGTCACCAGCACCTCTTCCACGGCCTTTGCCGCCTTTGCCGCTTCTGCCTGTGCCACGGCCTCGCGCCCCAACCGCAACCTGGTTGGATTCATCCTGGTCAGCCTCGTCCTGCTCCTCATCAGACAACGTAACTTGATCTGATGCCTGGACATCTGTGTCAAGCTCCACAAGATCTTCAGGAGGAGGAGAGGCCATGCGTCAGAGATCGCCGCTGAAGCCCTTCTGAGTTCTGAAGAGAGCCAACGCGCTCTGAAACAATGTATTTAAGTTCCAGTTCCAACCAAATCCTATTTCAAAGAAGCAGCATCCTTTCAGCTGCAAATAATGACATAGAATGAAATGTTGAAAATCAACGAAGACTGTCAAACAAAAATCACAGCTGCACTCACTCAATGTTGAACTAGTGGCTGGTGGTTCCAGTTCCAACCAAATCCTGTTTCAAAGAAGCAGCATCCTTTCAGCTGCAAATAATGACATAGAATGAAATCTTGAAAATTAACGAAGAGTGTCAAAGAAAAATCACAGCTGCACTCACTCAATGTTGACCTGGTGGCTGGTGGTTGGTGGAGATCGGAACTTATGCATTTTTTTTGCGAGGATGGTTGATTCAAAATTTCAGACCGAGGACCCATCTTGACAATCACACAGTTGCAAGTGCGAAGAAAAGAACCTGACCGACACTGGACAGATTCATCCCATTGCCGCTCAAAGCAGCCATCTTCTGAAAAGAAATTCCAGCAGCTTTGAGTGTTTCCTCAAAGTTGCATACCTGATGTGCAAAATGATCAGGTGGCAAAAGGACTGGCAATCCCTGCATAGCCATGCATTCAAGAGGATGTACAAAGCGCGATTTCTTGGTGTCGTAGAAATCGATAAAGAATTTGCTGCTTCTCAGAAGGGCCGGAATCACAGAAAGTTCGAACTGCCCACATTTTGGTTGAAAACTCAATGACTGACTCAGATTGAGCAGCCAGCATTTCTTAGACAAATCCATGGATGGATTTTCCTTTGCATATTCATTTGCTTTTTTGCGCATGGCCAAAAGAACATCCCTTTCAGATCTTGACATCAGAACCTCCCATGCCCACTTTCCGGGCTCACCCGTGGACCGAATTCGAGTTTGAGGAAATCTTTTCCGATCACACAAATCATGTCTGAGACAGTCGATGTGATCTGCAGACGCCTGAAAAAAAATGCTTGCAGTGACCACACGATTGCAAAAGATCAATGATGACCATGTCAGATCATTGAAGGAAAGCAACGAAGGTCCCAAAGTTTTGCGAATGCAAAGGGAATAACGGCGCTCTCTGCGAATGGGAAGACCTTCATCAGCTGCGCTCCAAACCAAAGAGGACACATTGTAGTCAGGCCAAAGGCACTGCTCCAGAATTGATGGGTCGAAGTTGGGAACACATTCGTGAAGGATAACGTCAATTTCAGCTTGCTTTGCAGAATAAATCCAGCAGTAGAACGCAACGGACACATCGTGCAGCCAGCCCAATCCAGTTCCATAGGCTCCTGGAATCAAATCTCAATTGATGATTTTCAAAATCTGCCGAAACAAGTTGGCCCAACTTACCACACATCCCCAACATAGCTTCTACTTAGTACCATATAATGCCCATAAAACCCAAAAAGGTATTATATCAAATCTAAGTAAAATCACAAAAAGAACACAAATCAAAATGACATGAACTGATCAGTCCTCCTTTCACGAAAGGAATGCAGGGACTTCCACCAATTTCCATAGTCAAATGATCATATCGTTCTGATTGTGGAATGCTTGGATTGGTCCAGAAGCGTTGACATTGTTTCTCGCATTTGGTGCACCATGACTGGTGTCCACATACAGTCTTGGACAGCAAATTCTGAGCAAATGAATGAAACTTCTTTTCCAAGGATTCACGGGCAGACGACTGATTGCTAGAAGGGGCAGAGGCAAAGCTCTCTTGCAACGGCTTCAAGAACTGTTGAAGTTGGCTGACGACCTCTTCAGGAACAACACCACAAACATCTTGAAATACATGCTGCGCTCCGCACTGACCATGATGGCACAGCAACTTCTGACTATTGCAATCGAAATCACAAGCTCCGTATACCAGTGTATTGTCCTTGTTCCAAATATTGTGTTTCTGCAGGACTGAGCTGATCATTTTCAGTGCGATTTCTGGCGTTCCCATGCCACTGAAGCTGGTGGACAAAATCACCTTTGTTTTTTTCTCCAGATTCTGAAAAACAGTGTCTCGTAAATGAGGAAACGTTGATCCAAGTCGATGGAGAAAATTCTCTGGCCATGCAAACAAATCTGTAAAGGTCTTCGGTCCATCTGGAATATTCCGAGGTTTCAGCTCCTCTTCAGAAGTCGAATTTTCGAAGGCTTCAGAGGAGAGGCGCTTCATGAGAAAAACGTTCAAGCACACGTGATGCAAAAGACTAATGAGTAATATTGCAATTTGTTTTCCACAATATTATTGTTGGATAAGCATGAAAATGTTTCAATGTATAACCATGTCATTTGATGCTAAAGCCAACCATGCAAAATGAATACAATGCAACCTTTGGCCTTTGTGATGAAAAACCGATGTGTTTCTTTAGACCCAACCTGCAAAGAAAATCATTGAGAATAAATTGTGTTTGCGTTTCATGTGATTGGGATCAATGGAACACTTACGATAACGATTGTACCAAATTGCTCCGGCACTGAGAACTATACAAACTTTGCACTGGGCAATGCACCCAGATCTTGGACATCTTTTAGTTTCAAACATCCTTTGAACTAAAGAAATATTTTGGAATGCAAAAAGTTGTTCAGCTAGTTTTGTTCATGTAAAAGAAATGATTTGCAACTTCTTTCCAAAAAGAAACAATTCAAATGTGTAATCAAAATATCAAAGCTGTAAATTCAAACGCATCAAAATAAGTGAAAATAATAATGAAATTGAAAATGTTTAATAAAAAATTAGAATATCATGTTGAAAAATGTGAAAGAATTGAAAAATATCAAAACAATCAAATTTTATGAAAATTTTTAACCGAAATAGCAATGTTTCCCATAAAAATGCATCAAACATATCAAAACATTATATTTAAAAAAAATGTAAAATTACATTGGAATATATCAAAAAGATTCAGGAAAAACTGTAGAGGAACCGTAGAGGGACCGTAGAGGGACCGTAGAGGGACCGTAGAGGCATTGTAGAGGACCTTGAAATCTATTTAGATATATTCTACTGGAAATATTGAAAATACAAGTTTACTTGTACATAGCAATAAGTTTCATTATGTTTTGTTGTTAAGTCCAAAAAAATCAAAGCTAAAATCAAAATGTAATCAAGTGACTCTCAACGAATAAGTACATATCGTAAAAAGTATAATTCAAACTGGAATTAATTGAAACAAATTTTGATAAATACATTGTGCGCAAGTAAAAAAAAACTCATATAACCAATGCATGGTGTCAATTGATTGTATGCATTTTTGAAAAATGACCTAGCAACTCTGAATCCATGGTGATTCAAAATGAATGCAATGTGGATGAAGCGTCGAGGAACTGTCGAGGGATTGTCGAGGGATTGTCGAGGGATTGTCGAGGCACTGTCGAGGGATTGTCGAGGGACTGTCGAAGGACTGCCGAGGGATTGTCGAGGGACTGTCGAGGGATTGTCGAGGGACTGTCGAGGGATTGTCGAGGGACTGTCGAGGGATTGTCGAGGGATTGTCGAGGGATTGTCGAGGGATTGTCGCGGGATTGTCGAGGGACTGTCGCGGGATTGTCGAGGGATTGTCGAGGGACTGTCGAGGGATTGTCGAGGGACTGTCGAGGGATTGTCGAGGGACTGTCGAGGGATTGTCGAGGGATTGTCGAGGGATTGTCGAGGGATTGTCGAGGGATTGTCGAGGGACTGTCGAGGGATTGTCGAGGGCTTGGCGAGGGATTGTCGAGGGACTGTCGAGGGATTGTCGAGGGACTGTCGAGGGATTGTCGAGGGACTGTCGAGGGATTGTCGAGGGATTGTCGAGGGATTGTCGAGGGACTGTCGAGGGATTGTCGAGGGACTGTCGAGGGACTGTCGAGGGATTGTCGAGGGATCGTCGAGGGCTTGTCGAGGGATTGTCGGGGGACTGTAGAGGGATCGTCGAGGGCTTGTCGAGGGACCGTCGAGGGACTGTAGAGGGATTGTCGAGGGACTGTCGAGGGAATGTCGAGGGACTGTCGAGGGACTGTCGAGGGACTGTCGAGGAACTGTCGACGGACTGTCAAGGGACTGTCGAGGGACTGTGGAGGTACTGTCGAGTGGATGTAGAGGTGGTGTTGAGGCAGTGTCCAGGGAATGTCAATTGACTGTTGAGGAACTGTGAAGGGATTGTGGAGGAATGATCAAAGGCTGGTCAATGTAATATGGAAGTACTTTAATTGGGAATTTTGTGATGCTGAATTATCGAAATATTGTGAACACATTTCGTATAAACAGTCCAGTAAATACTAGATTATCTAAAATTGTGAATGAATGAAAAACATATTTCAAAAATGCTACCAATAACAGAAAAAGGAATCTATCTCTTAGAACTGATAATGAATTAACTATTACTGAAAAACACAATAAACATATTATATATTTAATATATATATATATATTGAAAAATCATTGCTTGATCCAGTGCACAGCCTGAAAAATAAAGATTCTATATGAAAAACATTGAAAGTTTATCAAAAAGCTTACAAATGTTTCAAAACATAACAACACCACTTACATATCATTGAAAAAATCATAATTTTATTCAAAAAACAAAAACCGTACCATTTTTTTGAAAAAATAGTGATATTCTAAATAGTGATGAAAAAAATGAATTGTTGACCAAATATAAAGAAAATTTGAGCATACAGCCTATCAATATTAACATTAAAGTGAATCTGATTGCAAAAACATTGAATAAAGGAAAAATAACAATGTCTTATGGAAGTCAACAAATTGGCACTTTTCATCATGACCAAATGATGTGATTGTCTGCATTGTTTTTGTATATTTTATTCTAACCTGTGCAAAAAATATATGTAAACAAATGCAAAATCATTTGATATACGACCAAAAACATGCAAAAAAAAACAGTTTTGTCTTGCTTGTGATGATGCTTTAGTGAGAAAAAAAGCAAACTTTTCTTGCAACTTTTGAACACCTTTTGACTTTTTTGACATT